CTGCCTCAGCCTACTGAGTAGCTGGGATTACAGGCTTGCGCCACCACAGCCAGCTCATTTTTGTATTTTTTTTTTTTTTTGAGACGGGGTTTTGCTGTTGCTACCCAGACTGGAGTGCAATGGCACGATCTCGGTCACCGCAACCTCCGCCCTCTTGGGTTCAAGCAATTCTCCTGTTTCAGCTTCCCGAGTAGCTGGGACTACAGGCGTGCAACCATACCCAGCTAATTTTTGTATTTTTAGTAGAGATGGGGTTTCTCACCTTGTTGACCAGGATGGTCTTGATCTCTTGACCTCGTGATCCACCCGCCTCGGCCTCCCAAAGTGCTGGGATTATAGGCCTGAGCCGCCACGCCCTGCCCATTTTTGTATTTTCAGTAGAGACGGGGTTTCATCATGTTGGCCAGGATGGTCTCCATCTCCTGACCTCAAGATCTGCCTGCCTTGGCCTTCCAAACTGCTAGATTTATAGGCATGAGTCACTGTGCCCGGCCCGAATGAATTTGTGTTGTTTAATTCTCTAACTCTGCAGTAATTTATCATGGCAGCAACAGGAAATAAATATATACTCATATTTTAACATGGAGAACAAAAAAACAGGCCGGGTATGGTGGTTCACGCCTGTAATCCCAACACTTTGGGAGGCCAAAGTGGGTGGATAACCTGAGGTCAGTAGTTCGATACTAAACTGGCCAACATAGTGAAACTCCATCTCTACCAAAAACACAAAAATTAGGCAGGTGTGGTGGTGCCTACCTGAGTCCCAGCTATTTGGGAGGCTGAGGCAGGAGAATCACTTGAACTTGGGAGGCAGAGGTTGTAGTGAGCCGAGATTGTGCCACTGAACTCCAGTCTGAGCGACCCAGAGAGACTCCATCTCAAAAAAAAAAAAAAAAAAAATTAGAAGAGTGCACTGATTTACATTTTTGGCAAATTTCTTTAATAGCTGATATAATAAAAGACAGGTGGGTTCTCATATCTGCTTCTACATTCAGTCTGTTGTGATACCACCTGTTAAATTATCATTGAATTCCACTGTATACCCAGAAGAGAAATCAAGAAAGGTAAACAACTTCCAGGATTGTAATAAAAATAGTTTTGACTTCATGGACCTCCTAAAGGGTGTTGGTGATCCTTAGGGGTCCCAAGACCACACTGAGTGTGGCTAGTATAAAAAGTCAACAGTGTTTGCTACATTCTCCAAAAGAAAAAGCTCTTTTTTTCCCCTCATATTCTTACAGTGAACTTGTTTGGCCTTAAGGTCATCAGATCAATACACTGTAATCATCTTGACATTTCTTCATCAATTCAAATAATACTTAAAAGAGTTTATTTTGTGCCTGGCATTGTTTTATGGACTGAGGCTATATAAGTGAACCAAGTCCTCACTTAATGTTGTCATCCATATGTTCCTGGAAACTGTGACTCTTAAGCAAAACAACACTGAGCACAACCCATTTTACCACCAGCTAATATAAAGAGTTAATTTCCTGCAGGGTATTTCTGGTCACCAAACATCATGGAACTCCGAAATAAAGACCCCAATATACTTCTAATATTGAAACATTGAAATAAATGTGAGCTATACATACACTTAAGAGAGATTAATAAAACAATTTGGATAATTATAATTTTTTTTTGAGAGAGGAGTCTTTGTTACTCAGGCTGCAGTGCAGTAGCTGATCTTGGCTCACTGTAACCTTCTCCTCCCAGGTTCAAGCAATTCTCCTGCCTTAGCCTCCCAGTAGCTGGGATTGCAGGCACACGCCACCATGCCCAGCTAATTTTTTTGTATTTTTAGTAGGGATGGGCTTTTACCATGTTGGCTAGGCTGGTCTCAAAACTCCTGATCTCAAGTGATCTGCCCACCTTGGCCTTCCAAAGTGCTGGGATTACAGGTGTGAGCTACTGTGTCAGCCAGATAATTAAAATATTTACCCAATTACTCCAGTTCAGGGGTGCAGGTGGCTGGAGCCTATCTGGATGGCTCAGGGCACAAGACAGGAACCAACCCTGGACAGGACATCAGTCCGTAAGGGGCACACTCACACACACTCACAATCACTTACACTGGGACCATGTAGATACTGCAGTGAACCCAAGGGGCACGTCTTTGAGATGTGGGAAGAAACTGGAGCATCGGGAGGGAACCCATGCAGACAATGGGGAGAATGTGCAAATGCCACACAGACAGTGGCCCTGGCTGGGAATCAGTTATTTTTTTTCTCAGCCTTATAACAAAAGGGTGTTGAATGAAACAATTATTATTCAAGGACCTGCAGCACAGTCGTTTCCCTTGTGGACCTTGCATTTTAATTGAAGAAAAATCATAAACACATAAACTAAGAAGACAGTTTCAGATATTAAGTGATATAAAATAAGTAATAACAGGAAGTATGAGGGGGGTTTGGGGTGGTGGGCCAAGAGGTATTTAAACTAGAGTCTGCAGAATTGCTGTTAGAGCTGAGATATAAATGATAAGAAGGAATCATTGGAAAACTTGGGAGAACACTCCAGGTAGAGAGAACAGCAGGGGCAAAGAGCAGGAAGGAGCTTTGCAAGTTAGAGGAACAGACAGCAAGGCAGTGTGACTTGAGGGTAGTCCACCATGGTAATGAACAAATGGAATAAAACAGAAAAAGTCAGGCAGGTGTAGATCATTCAGGTGTTTCAGGATGCAAAAAGGACTTAAAGTTTTATTCCAATTGCCATATAGACCACTAGAGGAAATGAGACTGTGGAGTCCTCTTAAATGCTAAGCTTTGCTTCCTTCTGTAAATTCTTCCACCTTTTCCAAGCACAGCTCTTCAGCCTAACACATTCCCCATTTTTATCAGGATGACTCTCCAGAAAGGCACAAGATCCCAAATAGACGCATCTTGCCTCACATAAATTGTTTGTATGCTAACATCAAAAACAGACAGATCTGGAACCAATCAGGGGAACGTAAATTACAGGTTGCTTGATGTGGAATAACTTCTGCATGTTGGCCAGTGTAGGTGCTCAGCCAAAAATGCACTGTGTGAATACAATTGTTTGGCAATTGCTGATCTGTCACTTATCCAAAGCGGTAAGTGTGTGAATGGATTCGTATGGGTAATGACTCAAATTAGCAACTAGATTTTCTCATCTCTCCATGATGCAAGAAAAACATATCGGAACTTGGCTCATTTCTGGAAAATTCTTGTGATGATCCTCAGTTGTTCAAAATGCACATTTGGTCATCATTATCCCTTGTGTAATCAGTTTCTGCAAACTACAGGATGATGTTACAGTTATGTTTAGAGAATAAGGGAACATGCTCTACACCTTAATCAAATCACTTAAAGATGAGCCTTCTTAGATAACATGCACTTAAGTATATATATATGGATGGTTGCTGGGAGATCTAGTCTATACTTTGATTTATGCTGTAGCGAGAAGTAATCTTGTCTGTCATTGGAAACCTCCAGATGTAACCTGTGACCAGAACTCTAAGGTATTTACGATAAATAATATGGGAGAATTGTTTACAAGTCACATTTTTCTACAACAAAATGATGCACAGAATCCACAAACACAGAAGTGACTTGAAATCTTCTTTGAAGGGGCCAGGAAACGGTCAGGAATTTGGTGAGACAGAATCCCGCTCTGTCGCCCAGGCTGGAGTGCAGTGTCACTATCTCGGCTCACTGCAGCCTCCGCCTCCTGGGATCAAGCAATTCTCCTGCCTCAGCCTCCCGAGCAGCTGGGACTACAGGCGGCCGCCACCACACCCGGCAAATTTTTATATTTTTAGTAGAGACAAGGTTTCTCCATGTTGGCTAGGCTGGTCTCAGGTGATCCACCCGTCTCAGTCTCCCAAAGTGCTGGGATTACAGGCATGAGCCACCACGCCCAGCCGCCTGATCACATTTTCAAGACAGCTGTGGCTACTTGGGACTCATCAGCGGCTCCCGAAAAAATTTTTTAACATTAGTTATTGTGAAAAATTATATTAAACTAAGACCAGACTGTGCAAAGAAAATAATACCATGTAATTCCAAGGCTACATATTTTCAAAGGAATTTAATTCTGGCCTCTGAATGTAATTAAGTAGTCTCTCTCTCTCCATTTGAGGACCAGAGAAAGGAAGAATGGATGATTCGCACTTTTCAGTAGGAACCGGTAACCAAACCTGTTGTTCTGCCAAGTCTTCCCCATTCTCTGATTTCTTAGTGCTCAGGGAGTATGCTTGAAACCTATGCCTTCCTCCCATGTCAGATAAGCAGAAAGTTTGCTCTAGCTATGATAAATCTGCACAACGCGGAGATGTTTTTGGCACAAAACGTACGTTAGTTAGATGATGATGATTAAGCTCCCCTCCACCTCCGCCCCATTCTTGCGGCCGGGGAGTGTGTTTTGCCTGCATTTAAGAAATGTCCTTCAGCTGCAAGCATGTGCGCGCTCAGCCTGCAGCAGGCGTTTCTGAGTCTCCAGGGCAGGGTGACTTGGGTCGGCTGAGTGTCACCCACAGATGTGACTTGTTTCTCTCGCGGGCGCGACAGCCTCCTTCCTCTCCAGCCCGAGGCCCGCGGCCCAGACCAAGGGGAAGGGGAAGGAAGCCGGCGTCTGGGCCGGCACAAGACGCGCTGCCACCAGAAACTTTTTTCCCTCAGCTGCGCGCAACTTTTGGCCTTTTCTACCAGCACGTTCTAGTCCCGGGTTTCTGGCCCTTGGGTTTTCCTCTGCCTCCCTCGCCTTCTCCCCAGCGGCGCGCATAGGAGCTGGGCTGAGAGGGGCGCGGGGAGCCGGGGCGGCAGCGGCAGGGACGCCGTGGAAGGGGCAGGGCAGGAGGGGGCGTGCGGGCTTGGGGAGGAGGAACTGGTCAAAGGGGACCCAGACGCCAGCCTGCCCGAAAAGGAAAGAGCCGCCGCGGTTTGCTGCAGTCGGAATAAAGTTCGCGCCCTTTCCTCGGCGTTTCGCAGCCTCCTCGCCTCTCCTTCCCTCCGCTCCCCACCCCCGCCCCGCTTTTTTTTTTTTTTTTGTGACAGCTGGGCGCTAGCGGCCACCTCCACCTCCACGCCCGCAGCCCCGGTGGAGGTGGGGGGGCGCCAGGGTTGTTTTTCCATCCCAAGAAAGTTGTTTTTCCATCCCCAGAAAGAGAGCGAGAAAAACCCCAAACAAACAAGAAGCCCAAACAAGTCCCAGGGCGGGGGGAGGGAGAAACATACATCTTCCTTCCCTAAGCCCGTGGACCTCTGAGGACAAACAACACAACCAGCCGACTTTTATTTTGCAAAAGGGAAGCAACATTGTAGTCACGACAGTTCTGCAGAGAGAGGAAAACTTGTGGGCTTGCACGAGCGCCGAGGTCACCTCGCCCGCCGGTCCCCCGCCTCCCGTGAGCAGGGCAGCCCCCTCCCGGGACAGGCCGTTCCTTCGTTCCTTTTTTTTTTTTTTGTCCCGAAGAGAGGCCGGGGAACCGTGCGGGCTGGGACTCGGGGCGCGAGCGCGACCCCGGCGCGAGTGTAAATCAGTCACCTGAGCGCCGAGGGGCCGCGGCGAGGGCGCGCGCGGGCGGGCTGGGAGGCGGAGGCGGCGAGAGCGGCGGCCCGGAGGAACTCGGAGGGGGAGGGAGAGAAAGGCCGAGACGGAGGGAGCCAGCGGCGGCCGAGGGGCTGGTCCAGGCGCGGCCGCTAAGAGGAGACCAAGAGGCGGGGGTTGCACTTGACAACCAGCATGCCGAGATGGTAAGAAGTTTCTCCCCTCCTTCCCTTTTTATTCTAGACTTCGTCAGAAATGACCCCCGCGCCGGAGCGCCACCGGGGCCGCCCGGGGGCCGTGTCCGCCCTCCGCCTCGCGGCGCGAGGGGTAAGGGTACGCTGAGGAGGGCGGGCCGGGGACGAAAACCCCGGGTCCGACCTGGTTCCCGCTGCGCTCCTGGTGTCTTCCCCTAAACTTGGCCCCAAGTTTCCGAGGCGAGCTCCAGGTGGGAGGGTGCGCGTGTGAGGGGGCTCGTCAAGGTCGGCCTCGCTCGCGGCTTCCGCGCGAAGGTGAGCAGCTGGAGAGGGGAGGCTCCAGGGAGTTGGGGACGGGCCGGGGGGACGAGGTGGAAGGGAGCGGGGATGAATGGAGCGCTGGCTGGAGCTCAGGGCGGAGAGGAAGGCGGCTGAGACCTACGGCAACTTTTACAACTTGCCGCCGAGTGAGGGGCCGGCGGCTGGGCGTGTGTGCCGGGTGCGCTGGGGCGCAGCCGCCCGGGCCCGGCGCGTCGGCTCTTCCCCTCCCCTCTTCTGCACGTTCGGAACCTTGGCGTGGTAAATGGAGATGGGAGGAAATGCTCCTGCAGGCTTCACCGAGAAGGTGCAGAACGCGGGGTAGGAAAATGAACCCTGCAGAGAGACGGCTTTTTTCGAAGTGCAATTCTATAGGAGCCGATTTGTTTTACTTGCACCTTGACTGGAGGGTGGGATTTCGGGCCTGCGGAGAGAGTAGAGTAAAAAACTGTATGTTGAAAAACCCTAGGTGAAATCCCCTGTGAAGTGGGTTTAAGGGTGAAAAAAACTTCCAAGTGCCAATGGTGGAGGAGATGGGCTGGCTTTGCGAAGCAAGACTCCAGCACAGTCCTTCTACTCGAAGCGACTTCTCTGCAGCGAGGAAGGCTGCAATTAGTTCGCCTGGTGATGAGCCGCTCTGTCCGCTTTCGGGGAAGTGATTTGTTAGAAATGGGGCTTGACCACTCCCTTCTTTTTAGTTTGCTTCCACCCAGCGTCGCTATTGTTGCCCCCACTTGGGGATCTGACATAGTGTGTTCCATATGTAGAGGGAACTATAAGAATAGAGGTGAGATAGCGGGTTGGCATTTTTTCCTCTTCCCTTCTCTCTAATGTGACATCTCTTGTTTCAGTGATCAAAGTCACAACTGGAGTGTAGGAGATGCGACTGTCAAATGCAGGCGCGCGCGCACACACACAAAAGCGTGAGCCCAGGACTGTGGTTACAGTAACGCTGACAGAAATTAAAGTGGTTTTGAAAGCAGCATGCGATTTATGATGGTTTCCATTTACCCTAGAGTCAAGCTGTTGTAAAACTGATGTACAAAAGACATCATAAAATAATCCTGTATGCCCAGGATTAAAGTGGCAGAAAGTGGCCTGTTTTATTATTTTTTATGTACTTCGTGGACACTTGGAATTGTTGAAAGCTGTGTTTCAGTGAGACATCAAAACAGAATATTAAATATATCTATTTAGAGCTTGAGTGTTTTTCTTCTAACGGGCATTTTACACAAAAACACTGTAAAAGCCAGTTGCAGGTATTACTTTTCTTCCCTTTGGATAAAGCCTGTGTTAACTATTTGTCTACACATATATATTAACTACTTATCTACACATTTATTCCCATATACTAATCACTTTGAACTGTGGCTAAGCCTGTTTGCTTTCTACTGCTTTGTATTCTGCAGTTTCAGATGTTACTGCGAACATGCATACATGCTTTAAGTGGGAGGAATTTATTTCTGGCACTGTTACTTAGTGTGTCTGATCTGAAGATGTACCTTAGTAGTGAGCCCTTGTACAAGTTAACAGAACTTTTTGGACTCAAACACACACGTGCGCATACACACACACAATCCCTTGTGCACCTTTGGAGAGTATCTGTGTTTTATATTATATTTGTAGCTGTTTCATTTAAACTGTTCAATCTTAATGAAGTTCTTAGTTCCCAGAGCACACTGTATTAAAAATCCAGATTGCTAATCACTTTACCAAAGTGCAGGAGTATCTTTACCTGAGGGAAGTAATAGTAAGCTTGAACATGAACTTTATTTTGAGTATCTTTTGAGAAAGGGCTGAAACTTTTTTCCCCTTGAGAATATTAAGTTGGGTGGTGTTTGCATGTAAGACTTTGAATAAAAATCAGCTGTACATGATAGTTTGCAATTAATATTAAGAAAATATTAATAGCAGTACATTCCTAAAATCTGATTTTCCCCCTCTATTTGAGATGTAAGATATCTGTCAGATAGGGATATGCAGTTACAAAAAGAAGCAGACAAAAGCAGAGCTGACTATTGCTATATTAAAATGTAAGTGTTACAGTTTGAATTTTCAAGTGAGAGTTCTTGAGTTCAGTGCTTTACATAACATTTTGTCCTAATCTTGCTTGCTGTCAGGGATGTTTCATGGTTGTGCAATTGCTGCAGTCAAGAATGCCAATTTGCATTCCAGGAGTGTCATTTGATTACTTTTATCTGCACAGCTCCAAGACCGGCCCAGACCTCTCGTTTCATCTTGCCATGTCACGAGTCAATGCTGTGTCGTCTTTTCAAAAATCTGCCTGATTTAGACAAGAAAGAAAAGTACTTTCATGTTGCAGCCGCAGTCCCCTGCTAACTTGTCAGCAGCAGGATATGATTCACTTGGGCCCAGAAGAATGGAACAGAGAGGCGGGTTAGGCGGTTCAATAAAGCCCACGGACAGGTAGTGTGTGACATCCCCAGAGAGCTGCAGTTAATGAAGAACAGGTCTGCTTAGTTCTCCACACGCTGACCTGGTGCTGTCCCCACAGTTTTCTCATTTGATCTTTCCCAGCAAATTGATCTTTTCTTGTATTTTTTTTTGCCTTCCAAGTTAGTCCTTGTGGGACTGAAATTAGCAGAGCAACTTAAGTTGGATAATACAGCTGTTCAGAAAAGAAGAAATTGGACACTGGCTCAAAAAGGGGTGGGGGTGGGGGGTAGAGGGAGCTATTCTTTTTGTTGTTGTGCCTGGGAATATTTCTTATATTAGAGGAGTCCAAAATAGATGATGACTTGAAGTTAGTGGTTTCCTTTACTTTTAATTTTAGAGTTAAGGGTTCAGCACGATTTTAAATATTCCTTAAATATTTGGAAGATGGCCTTAGTGAGTATGAGGAGTTCAATTTAGTTTTGTTCACATTCACTTGTTTGAGATAATTTGCCAGTTGACAGTGTGACATTTTTGGTTATTGTAAGATGGCATACTTCAACTATATTATTTATAGCCTTCTAAACAGCTACGACCCCCAAATATCCAATACTAAATTGCAGGAAAGATTAAGCAATAAAAAAGTCATTATACTAGTGTTGTATGTAAATATTATGATACATGAAAATGTTTTCTACAAATTATTAGTATCTTTGTTTTATATAAACCCTACAGATACAGTTAATGAAGTGTTTTTTTTTCTGAATTTTTGAGATTCTGCATTTAAATATAGATGTTTAAAACTGAGACCAGACCACAAATTTGAATTTTTGTGGATGTTCATACATGTTGTTACTTGTTTTTTGACATTAAAATTAATTTTAGACAGGATGGGTAAATTTAAGTTGTATGGTTTAAACAGATTAAAGTTTCACTATAGAATTTTATACATAAAGCTTAGGTTGGAAGCAGTTAATAGATTCTTAACTTGATAAATATATAAGGAGCAATGCCTTCTGATTTACTCAGCAGATGGTCTCATTTACCATCCACATCCTTACGAGAAACAGAGTTGAAAACATTTCTTGTGGAATGGGAGGCAGCTTCCTTGAATCTTTCCTGTTGGATGGGAGTTATATAGTATCATTGGTTAGTAAACTCCCATCTGAAGAGCTAGAGGGAGCCTCATGATTTTATTAGACAGACTTAAGGTTTAAAAAACACTCTGGCAATCAGAATGTTGCACAAAAAGAGAAGGTAATGAATACTGGCTCAGTGTTTAGGCTGGGAGGTGCCATTATGGTTTTTCTTTCTTTCTTTCCTTTTTTTTTTTTTAAGCAGTGACAGAAGCAAAAGAACTACAAGAACAGTCAAGGTGTCAGCTAAGCTTTCTAGGCTTTTGCCTTTGAGGTGATTGAAGAGCAGGCAAAATGCAATCAGATACTATATTTTAAGTGTTTTGGTTTGACTAACTACTGTTTGTAGTTTTTGTCAACTGAAGGAATTATTCTCGTTTTAGGAGGTCAGCCTTCAGAGTTCTATTAAAAGTAACTTCCCACCAAATCACTGAGAAGTGAGTTAACTTCTTTTAGTTTATGAAGCACAACTCCTTTTCTGTAAATGATGGTTTTGGAGTAGTTCTACATACAACTGCTGTATTCCAGAGAGAAATTTTATTTAAAATAAATGCTTCCTGTTATAAGCATAAGTGGTAAACCATTTATAAACCTGACTTACTAGGGATTAAAAAATAAGTTAAATAGGACTTAAATGATATTGCATTCAGTAATTGTCATTTAATTTGATATTTATAACTTTTCACTAACATTTGTGATATGTTTATGTTAAAGAGTCATTGATCATAATTGCACTTTAATATTTATATACTAGTTTTTGGAGCATTACTTTGGACAAACATATTTATTATTTAAGTAAATAAAATAATCCAGTGAGATAAACTACCCAGATTTGTCCTTCTTAAAATCTTTTGCACAGTAGCTCTCATTATGTTGCTAGCCAATGAAAGTCTTTATTTGTTGCTTATTAGAACCCTCAGTACACTCAAGAGTTCAGCTATAATTTAATTTGGCTGTTCAAAGAGCCTCCCTTGTTTTGAAATATGTTCTCAGTATGCTTTTACCATTTGTTGTGAACCTGTATTCTAACTCAATGCATATGCATAAGAATATTACAGACATATCATTCTTTAAGTTTTTGCCATAGTCATAACTTTTTTCCTTTAAAAATATCTGTGTTTAACAACGTCAGTTTTGTTCTTTTTGCTCAGTTTTCTCTTTGAC